GCTTAATAATTAATACTTGACCTAATTATCTGACTTATTACATGTTTTAAACCTATTGTGCACTTTACCTTTTGATCACTTTTAGTTACTTGCTTAACGGCTTTTAGTATTTATGGAGTTATTTCTTGAACAAGTTACGATGTCGTACACTTGTCGTTTGGTACACATTGCAAATCGCGCCACGTGAAACGCAACTGCGATTTATAACATGTTTATTATTATTATTATTATTATTATTATTATTATTATTATTATTATTATTATTTGAAGTTATGGTCAAGTCGTGTGAAACGCGCACTCGAATTGGAGTTTACGTATCGTGACTATACAACGGGAACCGTACTCATAGTCGCGATAATTTATTAATAGCGCCTAAAACAAGTTACGATGTTTATGAATTATTTGTCTTAAACTAATTTAAGATTTGTAAAGCCATAAGAGTATGTCGTTGTAGAAAAGCATGAAATAGATTAAATTAATTATTCAAGAACTATAAAAGGGGCCAATATATGAGATTAATTGGCCTAGCAGATTTCAAGTTTTGGCCCAAAGATAGAATAATTTTTTTCATTAGCTTATAGTAACCTCACAACCCCACAACCCCACATTCTTCAACAACCCATTTGTCTAGGCCCAAACATTAGATCTTCACCAGTGACATAATTTTAGTTAAATTTGTTTAACAACTTAACTCTATATTTTAGATAATTGACAACTTAATTTAAAACAAAGATGGAACTACTAAAGCACATTTATTAACACATGAAGTACTTAATAACCAAACAGAGACATAACCTTGCTTGAGCTTCTATTTCAATAAATTTTTTTTTTATGAACAATCACAACTCACTTATCAATTAGCAAATTTTATTAAACCATTCATGGATGAACCCTTTTTAAGAGAATATGCTAATGAACTAAGATAAATATACAAAGAGGAAGCTCAAAAATTGGCAGCATGTTTAACAGAGAATAATTTCATTCATTCAAGATATAAATGAATACCAAAGAACACCAAAAGAAAAAGAAACAACTCATATCATTAATCAAAACAAGATAAGAAGTGGACCTCAAAAGTTGAATCTGAAACTTTACGGTTTTACAACTTTGAATCTTAAACTCATTGAGTCCGCACGCAAGACCTCAAACGGAGCATCGAAACTGGCCGCTGACCTCAACTAAAAGCCTCATTGTTTCAACCGGGTTTGGATGGTAGTTTATGGTATTAAAATGGCTGTTCTATGGATGTTTAAGGGTTGTTTTTGGGTGGTGAAGCTGCTGGCTTTTTCGAAAGAAAGACGAAGAAATAATGATACTAATAGAAATTCTCCTAGCGTAGAAGAAGCAAAAACATTTCTCTCAAATCCCTCTCCTCTTTTTTTGTTCTCTCCTTCTCCTCCTCCTTTATTTTTTCCTTTATCTCCTATTTATAAAAAAAAATCGGTTTTTTTTTTCAGATTTTTTTTTATTTATTATTTTTTAATTAAAAAAAATTTCCACTTCCAATTTTTCTTATTTTTTTAAAAAAATAATTCTCCACTTTTCTTTAATTTTATTTTTTAATTTCTTATTTTTACTTTTATTATATTTAAATTCCCACTTTTTTTACTTTTCTTTTTTTATGTCCCACTTAGTTTACTTTTTTTTTAATTTCCACTTACTTTTACTTTTTTTTTAATTTTCAGCTACCTTTACTTTTTTTTTTAATTCCAACTTTCTTTTACTTTTAATTTTTTTAAAATTTTTACATTCTTTTACTTTTATTTTTTTAATTTTTCACATTCTTTTACTTTTTATTAAATAATTTTCACCTAATTTTACTTTTACTTTTTAATTTCATACTTCTACTTTTCCTATTTTTTTATGCAAATCCGAAAATTTTTAAAAATATTTAATTTTTTCGGGTTTTAAATTTATTTTATTTAAAAATACAGATAAAGAATAAAAATAATATTAATAGTAATAATTGACCTTTTAAATTATTTTTAATGTTTACCCTATATAAAAAAAAATGTCACAAAGTTAAAAAAAAAATATATATATTAAATTTCTAAAAATATTTACATAGTAGAAGGTGATTAAAATTCAAATATAGTCAAAAATTAGGTGCTCACACTAATTAGTGCATAAAGTCATAGACTGTAATATTGTTAATTAAAGTACTTAAAAATACAAAACTAAAAATGTTTATTGATAAAATTTTTGTCCAAAACCAGAAAATATCAATCCAGAGAGAGAAAATTCTACATAAAGGAATAAATTTGGTCATTAATGTCTTGTTAATTGCTTAGACTTAATTGATGAACTTAGAGAATAAAGAAAAGTAAAATTTTAGATTTTTTATATTTATATTATAATTAATAATATGTGTATTATGTAATATAATATATATTTCGATACGATATCGGTATTTCAGTATTTTATTTTAAAATACCAAATACTATACCTAATACCATTTAAAAAAAAAACTTAAACCGAATACCATACCGAATATCAAAATATCGAATACCAAATATCAAAATTTTTAATTTTGGTACGGTAATTTGATATTACCAAATTATGCACAGCCCTAACATCATGATTGAGTTCTAAAGATGAAAATTGAAAAAAGAAAGGGAAGCGATAATCATAATTAATTAGATAAACATAATTATTTAGTATCCAATTACAGAATGACACTTGTATACATGATTCAATCTTAATTTCTTTTTTTTTTTGCCCTCCAGAGTGGGCTCACTTTCTGTATTACATTATCACTAAAGGGGTATTTATTTCGTTTCGAAAATGTTTAGGGGTGTCATAGTACCCCCGAAAAGTTTAAGTGTTTATTTGAAAAGACCAAACTAGTTCAGGGGGAAATTTGTATTATCCTTTTAGAAATCAAAACAAAAAGTAAAAGAAAACCAAAACCCCAAAGGACACCCCTATATAAAGGACTAGTTGTTTGAGAAACTTTCAGATCTCCGCAGCCGTCAGTTTTTCAGATCTGAATCAGTTGAACTTCAGTATCTTTGGTGCAAAACATTGAGTAAACTATGGCAACTTCTTCATCATGCCAACTGCCTTCTACTCACCACTTGTTTGAGATATCGGAGTTTGAACAAAAAGAGAGAGTCTTTTGGCAGTTATGGCTTGTTGAAGAAGTTTCCATCATTTACTAGCAAATGTTTAACAATTATCAGAAAGAGATGATTAAGGATATGAAGCAAGTGGTTATAATTGTTCTGAGATGGTATACACAAGAGAACACTTTATTTTTCGTTTTTTTCCTTTGTTCCTATATTTGCTTTAGCTATTAAAAGTTGCTGAAGTATATTTTGGATACAAATCATACATTGAAACCTACTTCTTGACAGTGATGTTGATAATGATGAAATTACAGTTAAATTTGTGATGAGAAAGATAATTACAGATTTACTTGCTCAACACCAGATAACTTTCTATGACATTTTTTCTACTAGATCTGTTATTCTTATTCTCAACCATATAACTACTTCACAAACTAGTGGAAAAAATTCCTCAGAGTGATGAGTAATACTCTGGTGAATACTGGAAAAAGTTAAAGCAGCATCACTATGGATATATTTTGTGATTAATGCTCAAGATTATAGATAATACTTGCGCTTTTTATATGCATTTATTTAACCATTCTATGATCTTTGTTGAAATGAAACTCATGCCTAGCATCAAGTTCTCTGGACTTGTGTAATTGTGTTGCTTCAAGCGGTGATTCGAGGTGAATTTGTAAGGTTAAGCGTTATTGTCATACTGATGATGTTAAAATGACAGACCTTGGCGTAAGCAAATAGTAATTCTTAACAAATGTGCTAGTTGACCTCAAGATTTTGGGGTTAAGTTAGTCCCAACTCTTGTTTTTCTTAACAAATGTGACTGCAAAAGTCTCACCAAAAGAAACGCATTAGTAGCCCAAAGGAAAATGTGAGCTGACGGACAAAAGGTGATCACTGAAGATGTAGTAGCTATCATGGTTTGAAACTCCAAGTTAAACTTAACTTTCTTTATCTGAAATGATAAGTTACTCTTGATGTATGTTTCCGAGATGTCTTATCATTGGCAGCTCAAATGTTAACAGTAAATCAGGATTTCATCTTGGCTAGGAAGACATTGGTGTCTTATGGTCAAGAAATTAGAAGCCATTGCCACAAAGAAATAATCTTTATCACATCGGGTAACTTTACTTGGATTTAAGATTCTCATTCTTGCTTTACTTTTTCGTTGCAATTGAAGTGGTTTAGAACAACTCAAAATGCTTTCAGAGGAGAAATAATCAACCTCTGCAAGAACCATTAACCAACTAGGAAAATAAAAGGAGTTGCAGATGCAGACCACCGCAGAGACAAAATCATGCAGAACTACTTGAGAAATTGAGATCATTTGTATACTTGGAACTCATTTAATGCTGAAGCGAACTGCATGACCAGAAAAATTGGATTTCTGGCAAATAGCTTGAATGCTACCAAAAAATATTTTCCATATTTAGATTCCATATCATGCCATGCTTATTCAGGGTCCAGGACTGCTTTTCACTACTCAAGTGAACCTGATCCCTTCGGTACAGGAGAAATAGGTTCTTGGTAGAACAAGGGTCTCATAAGTTATCTCACCTGTTTATTTGGTAATTCCTACTGGGCAAAACAGAAACTCGAATTGCTTTTTTTTTTACTAACAGTTTTTTGTTGTGCTTGGGTGGTTGAGTCTATTGGAGGCAGTGGTGGATTCGTTTGATGGATTTTTCCTGAAAAGATCTCTTTTGCAAATATGAATAGAGGTTTCTCTTCTCTTCCAGCTATATGCTTAAGGACTTCTTTGTTTTGCTTCCTTTAGCTAAGGTTTATTCCTCTGCTTCATGTAAATTTCTTTGAATAACAGTCTTATAATCCATTACTTTTTCCCCAGTTTAAAACCATTCATTTTGAAACTAACACAATTTGAATTTAAACGAACAAATTGTAGCACAAGGAAATTTTGGGACCTGGATAAAGTTAATAATCTTTAGTATATTGAGATTCAGTTTGGATTTTCCCATTAGCTTTATTCTGGTTTTGCTTAGCTCTGACCTAGATGTCTAAAGATCACTATGGACTACTGAGATAAGTGCCTTCCATAGAAGCATATAGGTCTGGGTACATAATACAAATGAGTTGCTTTCTGCTGAAGCTGGGCAACCCTTATTTAATTACATTTATTTAAAGAAAACAGTTGTTATTCCCTTAATTCTCTTGCTTTCTCCAACTAGTTAAAGTTGATTGGGTACTTTGGCTGCCTGTTCGGTGTAAATAGTCCAAAATGCTTCTCAAATTCAGGGCTCTTCTGATCCTCATTAAACAATGCAAAAATATAAGTCTCTATTGGCCTGGAGGGCCTTTTAGGACTCCCTCCTTTGACATGCCTTATCAAGTTGTTGTTATAAGTCCTGGCATTGTCAATGGAGGTCAATTGCCCTGCTCCAGCTGAAGGCCAACCACTCTCTGATACAACGATTTCTAAAGACGAGCCACCGGCCTTTTCAAGGGCCGAGTATGTGGCATCTAAGAGGGCATCAAACAGGTTTTGGTATCCTTTTCCATTATCATTGACAACAACTCCAGGTGATGTAAATAGCGCGTACTCAAGCTTAATGTCTTGATTGCTTGCTTTTGAAAAATAAGGATAAATGTTGACAAGCAAAGGTGAGTGGTTGGCTACTAGGAAGCTGATGATGGGATCAATAAATCGTCGAACATCATCTCTAAATTTGCCTCTTGATGGAGGAAAAGTGTCAGTTGTAAGTCCAGTTTCAATAGCAGTGGAAACTTTAATCTGGTTTCCAAGACCAGCACCAGAAATTGCATTTTGAATGTTTTTCATGGCATTGAGCAAGAAAGGTACATATTGGGAGTTGCCATTTAGCGGACTTATTTCATTTCCAACTGCTATATACCTGAACCTGACATTACCATAGTTCCTAACGTTGTTTTGGACCCAGGTATTTGCATTGCCTTGGCTAGAAGCAATATTCTGAAGGTCAGGGTTTGGCACACCTAACATGAGTTCAATATTGGAGCCGCTGAGGGCTTGGAGAGTGGACTGGCGAGGATCGTAGATTCTCATTCTTTGGATATTCTTCTGCTTGCATAGAGCCACGACATCTGCTGGAGAAGGTAATCCATTCCCATTTGTTCCATAACACACTCCTGTTTGTGCACCTGCATTGCGTTTCTGCATATTAGCTCATGAAGCTATCTACTACTTGGTCAACTGGAATATCAAGACAGCCAGAAAAGATGCATATAATTTATAAAGAAAATGATGGATGCATAATCATATCAAGGAACGTATTTGGGAAATAAAGAGCTATATTCCTGCAACATCCAAATTGTATAGGCAGGCTACATTAGTGTTTACTATGTAATTTTAAAAAGAGCGACCGACCTGTGAAATCTGAGGTAGCCAATATAAGTACCCCCAGCAGAATTATGGTAAGAGTAGAATGTGGTTTTGTGCAACCCATGGCAAAGAAAGACAAATTGCGCTATGGCTGAAATGGCAGGAAAGCTTGCCCATTTATAGTGGAAAATTCAGAAAGAGGGAAGGACTTTGTTACTCCAATTTCCACAGCCAAGTCCATCTATGGAAAAAAATGCTACACAAACTTATCACAAGCTGCAGAAACTACACAAATGAGAGAAATTCTTATTTCCATAGGTTTGAAAAGTCTGCAGCCCCTAAATTTCCTTGGTGAAAATGACTTATGACCAGCGGAAATGTGGAATTGGTTAGTAGCCTTGCCATTAATTGCTACATTAAACATTGGGAAAAATAGGTTGATATTTCTCTTAGGATTAAAAGAGAATATCCATTACCCGGCTGCAAAGTGAACTCTTGCACTGTTCAAGAGAGACTAGTACAAACTTCCTTAGGCCTTAAACCAGGGAGTAATATTTTGAACATTCAAAGTTTTTATGAGAATGGACTAGCATTGCACTTTCCAGATGCGTATGAAGGATTTTGCCCAAGTAGTGTCGATCTATTACCTATCACAATTCAGTTTGTACTATTCTGGGGGTTCAAAAACTTTACTTCCCATTCCAAGTTGATATTTACTTTGTATTATTTTTCAAACAGCATCAGTCTATGGTATATATATTTACTGCTATTTAGAGACACGGACGTGTGAGTGTATATTATACTTGTTAATCGGGTCGGGCTGACCCGTTTACAGCCCGGTCCAGTCCGGTACTGTAGCGTGGCGCGGGCTGGGACGGGTTGGGTAGGGAGCGGGTTTCAAACGAACAGTTTTTTGATACAGGTGCACCGGAACCCGCTAAGCCCGTTAACCCGTTAACGGGCTGTTAGCGGGCTACAGCCCGGTTCAGCCCGTTTAATAACGTTTTTTTTAAATTTTTTTTTTTAATGGACCAATTGAAACTCCTGATATTGACACTTGTATTTCTTATCTACACAAACATTTAGAAACATTATATAATTATTATGCTAACATTGTTGATGCTTCTTCTGCTGTAGATGCAAATATTCCTTCAAGTTCAGTTTCAACATCTGGGACCAGTGCTTTGGATGATAATGATGGTGTTGAAGATTATTTGATTTGGTCTACAATAGGGGAGCATCAACAAACCTAGCAGGAATATTAATGAACTTTAATTCTACTTGCAAAAGTCAGCAGAGCCCCGCACAAAGGAATTTCTACCATTGGGTTGGTGGA